ACAACAAGGGTAGTTTTGATCCCAAGCATAAATAAAGGGTATATATGAGCTATTTCGAATAATTCGAGGGTAATTTTGACCATTTTCTGTATCATACATAACGTGGGACAATTGAGACAGTTTCAATTTGGTTATCCTATTTTATTTTTTTTAAATAGTCTATTTAAAAAATAAATGTTTTTTTTTCTCATTTTGACAACCTTTTAATTTTAATTTTCATATAACATGTTTTACACTACAAAATTGAAAAGTCCTTTTTTATTTTGGGAAAATGCATAAGTACCCCCCCCCCCCCAGCCTATACCCGAAATCCCAGAGACACACTTAACCTTTATTAAGGTCCTATTACCCCCCCCCCCGAACTTATTTTATATGTAATATTCTACCCTTTTTTGGCCTACATGGCACTATCAAGTGGGCCCAGCGCATGTTGACATTTTTTTCAAGGATAGTGCCACGTAGGCCGAAAAGGGGTAGAATATTATAGATAAATTAAGTTCGATGGGGGTAATAGGACCTTAGTAAAGGTTAGGTGTGTCTCTGGGATTTCGGGCATAGGGTGAGGGGGTACTTATGCATTTTCCCTTTTATTTTCTTAAACTATATGTAAAATCAAAATCATACAAACAAATTAAATGAAGAGAGTAGTAACTTATAACTAATTAAGGACCACAATTATATAACCATTCATCAGCAGATGTCGCTACCCAAACTGCGTATAAATAAGCTACACGCAAACTAGACTATAAATACGAGTTCGGAGCCAAAAGGACAACTTTTTTCCCTCAAAAAACGAGAAAAGGGTCAAATGCCCCCTCAAGCTTTATCCATATTTTCAACTACACACTTAACCTTTGCGGGGGTCCTAGTACCCCCCTGAACCTTTTTTTTTTAATATTAGTTCACCCTCAGACGATGATGTGTCCACATAAACCAGATTTATAAAAAATGTTTGTATACACGCGCTGTCCACGTATATATTAGTGGACCTCATGAATTTACACAACTCACAAATTGACACGTGTCACAAAACTTTACCTTTACATTTTATGAACCTAATTGACTCTCATTCTTCTTCCTAATCTAATCTCTACGATCTTCTTTCTAATCTAATCTCTAGTTCTTCTTCCTTTTCTCTACGATCTTCCATTACTGATGTTGCTCGGAAAGGTTACTTACTATTTCTTCTGAGAAATGGTTAGATCTTTACTTACTAACCCTAATAACACAAAGTGAAAAAAAAAATCAAGTTGTCGAATTGGGGAAGATTTCGATTGTTCAATATGAAATTCGAGAAAATTGCAAACCCTAAATTCAATCTTAGTTGGAGAAGATGCAACAACTAAATTCAAGCTTTGAAAATGGTGGATGAAGAACAAAGAAGAGAGCTTTTGTTCAAGAACAACAGAGATGGAGATAAATGAATTGGGAAAAGAATAAAAAATAAATGTATGGTTAAATAAAGAGTAAAGTTACTGTTGGGAGGCTTATTTGGACTCCACATGGACATTTTATTACGTTCTTACGCGCCTCACGGAGGTGAGTTCACGTATGTGGACACATCAGCGTCTGAGGGTGAACTAATATTAAAAAAAAAGGTTCAGGGGATAATAGGACCCCCGCAAAGGTTAAGTATGTAGTTGGAAATATGGCTAAAGCTTGAGGGGGCATTTGACCCTTTTCTCCTCAAAAAACATAAATGGCATATCAATTTTTTTTTAAACTAAAAGGGCAAAATCGCTCCCGAGGGAGCAACATCCTTTGCACATAATTAACTTAGTTTATTTTGTTAAAAAAAATTGACTAAAATTGTTGCCCCTACAGTGATTTCCTGGGAGGCCGATTTATCTTTTGAAAAAATAATCATTTTTTTAAGAAATTGTTGCTGGAGTAGCGATTTTATTTTTTTAGAAAAAACAAACTTTTTTCTGACAAAATCGTTGCTGGGCAGCAATTTTAATAAAAAAAATTAACGGAGTAGACGGAGTTAATTATGTGTAAAGGATATCGCTTCTGAGGAGCGATTGTGCCCTTTTAATTTTTTTTTAAAAAATGATATGCCGTTCATACTTTTTGAAAGAAAATAAATTATTCGTTTGACTCCGGACTCCTATATATATAAAGTAATTTACAATTTGCACCCCCATTGTAATCTACTAAGGCAAGACAGGAAATAAGGAGTAAGAAAACAAAAATAAATGTTTAAATAAAAAATGCCATGCCTAACCTGTGAAGTATTGGGAGTTTAGGCAGATTCTCACCCCTCGTTAAAAAACTTATATGATATATGTGAAGTATTTTTCTTTAGCGTTTTTTTTTTTTTTTTTTAAAGTGTTATATATAGAGAGAGTTTGGATTCTCTAATTAAATACAAAATTAGAGGTTGACTTAATAATTTAGAGTCCATTTGGGGGTGAGGCTTCCAACATGATATTTTTTAAAATATTTTGTTGATATATAGTATTAGAATAATTTAGTATTGCGATGGAATCGTTACGTGTTTCTTCCATTTATGTTTAACTAAGTCTATGGCGTTCCAATATTGAATAATTTGATATTATATTAACTCTATGATCCATCTCCTTTCACTTTTGTCCACAACTATTTTACGATGGTATCTCAATTTCATTAAATTATTGCGTGTGAGGTCAATAAAACCAGAGGCGTATCTAAAGGGGGGTCACCGGGTTCACGTGAACCCATGGTCTCCTCCTGAAATCATATATAGTAGTGTTATAATTTTAAGAAAATATTGAAATATAGATGCGTGAACCCGCACTTCAATTATCACATAATGCGATTATGACTGGGTGCACCTCTCTCCGCGAGGTTAGAAAGTTGAATTTTATATTTATCTTGTTTTATTTTTCTTTCTAAAATTAAATAACAGTTCTCTAAGTGGAAATTGGTATATAATAATTAATTTTAGACCTATAATTTTAAAATTTTAACGATTTTTAGTAGTAAAAACCTAAATGTCAAACCGATCAAATTTATATCATAGATCAACTTTTATATAACAGTGCACCCATCATCTCAAAATCCTGGATACGCCTCTGAATAAAACTGTCACAATTGGTTGGCAAAATTAGGACAAACAAAGACCAAAAGCAGAAAATATATAGAGATGTACCACCAGAAAAATATATTTATTTATATCCTTGTTACATGAGATATATGTGGGACAGTGGAGTTGTCTTATTTTTTTTGGTCTGTTTAAAAAAAATGTGTTTTTTTTGACAATTTTTTAATTTTAATTTTCCACATGACATGTTTAAAACACACAAAAATTAAAACAAAGAGAATAATAATTTATAAGGACCACTATTATATAACCGTTCATTCGTAAATGTCTATTCAAATTGCGCATAAATGAACCACACACGTATATCCTTTGCTATGACTTACCCCTTATCCTACGATTTTTTTTTTAATGATTTACATCACAACATATTTGCTTCACTACAAAATTATTAAAAAGTCACTTTTTAAAATAATTTACAAAGAGCAAAACAGGACATTAGGAATAAGAAAACAAAATAAAATCAAAATTTGTTAAAAAATTTAGTCGTATTTCAACCCATTCAACTTGCAAATATTTCCAATCAATGGTCATGTGTACAAAAGGGTATGTCAAAATCGGTTATATTTTTCGTTAATAAATAGTAACATGATTGAACACTTTGTGTCATGCCAATAACATAGGTGAACTCAACATTTATACAAATAGCATAACTGATTTTTTTTTCAATATTTGATGACATATTTGAATTGTTTTCCTCTACTTATGGGTTGTGTTTGGGCTTGTATTTTACCTAGATGTGTCATTTTCCAAATAAATCTGTCAATAATGTCATTATGTTAAGAATTATGTTAGGATCTAAACAATTTACGTTTAAGAATTCCATTCATTTTATCACTTTAAAAAATAGCAGTTCACCAATTTCATCTATTCATCGTTACTATTATTATCGATCATTATGAACTATCGTCACTGTCTTCCACTATTATCAATTGCATGTCATCACCCATCACCAATAACCACACAACCATCATATTATCAATCATTATAATCAGTAATCACCGTCACTAGCCACCATTTACAATCACCACTATCAACCATCACTTTGTGTATTGCCAACCACCTTCGCTAATTATTCATCACCACCATAAGCTATTACTATCATTCACCACAACTATCAATCTCAACTGTCAACCACCATACTTCTCTCAAAAAGTATTTATTCAAAAATCGTTAATTTTAACAAAGATACTTCTTAAAATAAGAAGTTTTTGATAGCTTGGGCAAACAGTTAATCTAACCTTCATCATTAATGTAACATTTAGCAAGAAAAAAACTGCTAGATATTGTTGTTGTTGTGTGTTCTTTAAATGTATACTAAACGTGCAAATTATCGAACGAATTAGCCAAAGGCATAAATAAATTTGAAGTCGGAATTACCTTAATGTATATTATTCATGATATTAATATTCAAACACATATGACAGATGTCATCGTCTCTAATTACATATTCACTTTTGAATTGACATATCTATTAAGTAAACAATGACTGACATAATAAGTTTACTATTTTACCTGAATGGATTAAAAATTTAAGATTTTCAAAAAGTTCTATCTTTTTCAAAATTAATTAATTGAGGATATAATAGATTAAAAAAAAATTGTCTTTTCTTGATATGTCAAAATGAACAAGCAAACAAGGACAAGTAAAAAAGAAAAATTAGACAAGTAATTAGGAACATAGGAGGGTATTATATCAAGGGATGTTTATTTTGTTTTAATCCTTTCATAATGATAGGATTAACTTACGTACAATTAATTCAACTACTAATTAATTTTCATGGTGTCCACGTATGATTTCCCAACAAGTTCACGTGTGACATATCCTTTATAAAATTCAGTGACTCCAATTTTTTTGAATTTTGGTGGATTATGAGCATTAATAAGGCTATTAGCTGGACCTAATTCACCATCTAATCTTGGATTTTGAAATGTTGCTACTGACATTCTTTCTCTTTCTGAGTTTACCACTGATCTATGCTCTATACTCTTGTAAATTCCATTTGAGAAAATCTGGCAAAAAAAAAACTTTACACAAAGCTCACAAAGAGTAAACCAAATAAAACAGATAGAAAATGGTCAAAAATGCTTGAAATTGAATAAAAATGTTTCTAGTTAATAGTTCGATCTAAAAATGTTTTTTTCTCGCTAATAGTTTGATAAAAAAAATTCTCGTATTATTATCAATGGATAAAATATGTTATTTTTAAAAGTAAATACATTATTCTTTTTCTTTGTAAGCATATTGTTTTCCTAATAATATTTTTTTATTAGCAAGATGCTTTTTCCTTTTTCAATTCAATGGGGAGAAAATTAAGATATAAAATATTTACTATTGTATAAGGAATTTTTTTATGGTTATCTAAATGAAAAGTAATTAAGGATTTATTATGATCTTACATAAATGACCAATATTGTCAATTAAAAAGGTACATAAAGTTATTCCATTTTAATTGATAAATTATGAGATTAAGAATAAAAAAATTATTTACTTACTATTTTTTAATTAAAATGATTTTTTTAAAAACCTGTTCTTTAAAAAGTAGTAATTTTTATTAGGAATAGAATCTGTATTGTTTTTTTTTTAAATGCTAATTTTTTTATTTGAAAAAAGGACATTTTTGACTCATTAAGTAACAGAGAGTCATTTTTTAATCAACCTATTGTGAAAGTATTTTTGGACAAAACTATTAATGATAAAGACATTTTAAAATTAAATTATTAATAAATGATATTTTTAATCAATTTCACGAAGTTTTAAGGACATTAAATTGTTGGGATATTGTTTACTGAATTCCGTAAGCAAATGAATTTAGAAGCTGACCATGAATAGATTCAGAAGTGTAAAGGTTTACTATATTATTAACCTCTTTTACGTGACAATTTTAGCATATGTTAATACTCTTTTCTTTTTCATCCGTTCTAATAAAATTACAACTTCCTTCTTTTGGAGACAATTTAATCTTGATTTTTTTTTATTTTACTCTTCGTTATATGATTTATAAATAAAGATATCATGACATATAGTTTAAGATAACATAGTTTAAAATATTTTTTTCCTATAATTTTACACTCATTTACCTTCACATAAAATAGGATGGATTGAATCGAGTAATCATTTCATCAATTACTTCCTCTGTCATTTGATAGTATTTTCTTTTTAATTTGTCCAAAAAGGAATTCATTTTTATATATAATTTAATTTCTTTAATGAAATAATATATATAATCACACAAATATCTAAATGACTTTTTCTTTTTCAAATTACAAGTTATCTTATTCAATGTCATCACATAAATTGAAACAAGAGAAAAGTGAAAGAGAAAAAAAAGTAAATGAGAATGAGAGAATTAGTACCTTCAAAGCATCTCCAACATTGACTACAAAGGCATTAGGAAGGGGCAAAATGGAAATCCAAATTCCATCTTTTTTAATTTGAAGACCTTCAATTTCATTGACTTGAAGAAGGATTGTTAAACCAGAGGAATCTGAGTGAGGGCAAAGTCCCATCACTTTTTCTGGTTGTGGACACGGCGGATAATAATTCATCCTCATTGATTGCATTCCTTCTTCAAAAACACTCTTCACTTCCTCTTCATCAATCCCCAAAGCTTTACCCAACATTTCCAAAACTTTCATGCTTAGCTCATTCACTTCTTTTGAGTATTCTTCAATTGTCTCTCTGTATAATACAGTAAAATCTCTCTAAATTAATATTGTCAGACGTATGTTAACATTTTGAATAGTATTATGGTAGATGGTTAGTAGATAAAGGACGTTAAATTACGTACCTAAGGGAAAGGGGAAGCTTGGAAAATATAGGCCTCCGTAAGTATATCGGTGCTGTTTTCAAGAAAAAGAGGTCAGCCCAGTCAAGCTTTTGTTCATCAGAGACAACGAACAGCGGTCCAAATCCATCTAATTCCCCTGACGATTGTTCAAATTTCTTCTTCTCTTCCAATGGAAGATTGAATAATTTTTTAATCTCGTCTTTCATCTTCTCCATCATCGAAAAATTAACTCCGTGATTAATCAACTGCAAAATATAATTATAGATTTTTAAACAGAAACACAAGATCTACAACAAACTTTTCATCAATTCACCGAGAAAAGTACCTGAAAGAAACCCCATTCTTTGGCTGCAATGTGCAACTTGTTAAGCTCGAGATTTATGGAGTCATTGATTAATCGTTGCATATCAATAACTGGAACTTCTTTATAATTTGATGATGCAATTGAAGGGTCCTGATTATCACGTATGTATCGCGATGGAATGGTCACGAGTTTCGTCTTAGCCATTTCCTGGACAGAAGGAACTTTCTTGTAATTAACTTGTAACTGATCTCCTGTGTGTGTTTCCATGGCCATATTGATTTATTAACACTTGTTTCCTCAACTATTTTATAATCCCAATTTGATTATCCTATACATATTGACTAGGATGATCCAATTAGATTATTGCGTGTGTGGTCGATAAAACTTGATGGTATTCATCATAGGAGTGGCAAACGAGTGGGACAAATCGAATATTAAGTAAAAATGGGTAAAATGTAAATGGATAAAAATGTGTTATCCAATTAATAATATGGATAAATATGAATATGAATATTATAGTATAATAATAGGAATTCTGTTAAAAGCTTCAGAAGCAAAATCTCTTATCACACATTGGCCCCACCCCCTACCCCGTCTCCAACCCCTCAAAGGAAATTAATTTTTTTCAATTGTTTTTTTATAAAAAAAATTAAATTTATTTTTTACCACTTACGCCACCCCCTCCCCCCACCACCCAACCACAAGTTGCCTATCCCCAAAAAATGTAAAAAAGAAATTGATATGTTTTTTTTTTTTTAAATCTTTAATTTTTCTATCACCCCACCCCTTCCTCCACCCTCCCTCCAAAAAAAAATATTATTTTTTAGAAATATTTCAAATTTCTAATTAGTTTATTGCGTGTTGATCAATAAAACTTGTGGTCCTTTGCCTCTGCGAGGTTTTAACAGGTGGGGAAATATATAGGACGGTAAGTAAGTAATAATGACTATCATTGTATAATCATTCATTAATCTATATCACTTTTCAGATTATGTAAAAATAATTAACGAATTGCATGCAAATAGACTATATATGCATTTTAATAAAGATTTAATTAATTATGCCATCTTAAATTAGCAAAGTTATGCACCATCTAATTTGCAAGTATTAAGGTCATAATTGAAGTTTTATTTTGAATTTAAATAAAAGATGGTTAAATGTAGAACAAAAGTCAAAATTTAGGTGAAGTTCTACCCAAAAAATTAAGTAAGATTTTTTTTTTTCAAAAGCTGAATATTTAATGCTACTATGTAGTTGTGGCATGGCTATTCACAGCAAATCATTATTTTTCCATTATAATTTCTCATTGGAAAATGTCAAGTAGCTATGTTCACAAATATTTAAATTGAATTGAGAAAATAATATTAATAATATTTTAATATGAAAAAATTTAAAGAAATCCCATCAAGTCAATGAGAATTTGAAATAATTTGGCTAGCGCGCATTTATTTCGTGAAATATTGGGAGGCTCGGCAAGCCCTCGCCTTCACAGCAAAAAAATATATTATATGTAAGTAACTTTATTTTTTTTAGTTAGTGTATATATAGAGTGACAAACTTAGAGGTCGAATTTCAAATTTCACTTTTAAATAATTTGGGAAAATTACGCGAATAAGCACATATATATTAGTAGTTAATTAGTTAACATAGCTATAGTATGCCTTAAATACAATTTGCGATCTACTTTTAGCTATAACTACGCAACTCATTGTTTTAGTATGTATAATTTGCACGTTTGTATAATTTGGAATTTGTATAACTTTTATATAATGTGATTTTGTGTAATATAATTTGTATAACTTCGTTAATTCGAGTTTATACAAAGTTTAGATGTTTGTGTTTGTATAAATTCGTTAGTTCGAGTTTATACAAAAATAGTTGAATTATACAAACGTATCACGAATTATACAAAGAGAGTTTAAACTGTAGCAATAGCACGTAAATATACAAATTATACATATGAAACATAATTAAATTTATTATAGTGGTTATGTATAAAAATTCCCCTTATAAATAATCTTGTATCGTCCTACATATTTATCCATCAATTAATTAAAACGTTGTCAAGGCAAAGTACCATAAAATCTTATTGACAACACACACAATAATCTTTCTATCCTAGTTAACGATTTTGATTTACTGGAAAAAAATAAAGTTGATGATGGAAGAAGCAAGGTCGAGAAAGCTAGGTGGCTCTTTGAAAGTTGCTAATGTTCAGGAGCTGGCAAAATAACAACTAGCAGGTGTTCCGCCGCGATATATTCGTATTAATGATGACGAAAATCAATTGTATAATTAATTCATCCATATTATTGCCTCATCAATTAGCTCCAGTTATTGACATGGAAATAATTAAAGATGATGATGATACAGAGCTTAACAGGTTTCATCTTGCTTGCAAAGAATGGGGATTTTTCCAGGTTTCATAGATCAAACTAACACTCTTCATTCCATAACTTTTTCTCATACATACTAACCTCAGTATTTAATAAAGTTAAATTTAAAGTTTCAGAACATAGTAAATAAAGTTAGTTTAGTAAAATTACGCAGTCACGGAGTGAGTTCATCATTGATGGAGAAAGTGAAGTCAGAAATCCAAGCATTTTTCAATCTACCAATGGAAGAGAAGAAGAAATTTGAGCAAGAGGAAGGAGATAGTGAAGGATACGGGCAAGCCTTTGTTGTATCTGAAGAACAAAAGTTAGATTGGGCTGACATGATTTACATGATCATTCTCCCTACTCAACCTCACTTGTTTCCAAAGCTTCCCGCCTCACTCAGGTACCATATCGTCCTGATGCCTTCAAATTAAGAAAGATGGAGCTTGGATTTCGGTTCCATATCGTCCTGATGCCTTTGTTGTTAACATTGGAGACATTTTAGAGGTGAGAAATAAGTATGTTTGGTATGATACAAGTCAATTTCGTAAAGCTCTGTCGTCAATTTTGTTTTTGCAGATTGTGACAAATGGAATTTACAAGAGCATTGAACATCGAGCAATCGTTAATGAGGACAAGGAGAGGATCTCTATTGCTACATTTTTTAGCCCCAAACTGGATGGAGATTTAGGTCCAGCAGCTAGCCTCCTCACTCCTCAATCCCCTGCACAATATAGGAGGATTGGAGTGGCTGATTACTTTAAAGGATATTTTTCTCGAGAGCTCGTTGGAAAATCATACATAGATACTCTAAGGATTGGAAATGAAGATGATGAGAGCAATTGATCAATGTTGTATTTTATTCCACTCAAATAACAACTGGATGAGTTCGCTGTAAATCATGGTCTATCTGCTCTGAAATTTCTGTAAACTAGAAACAAAACACCACCATTTGCATTCATAAAAAGAAGTTTCTCATGTGATGTAAAAGGTTGCAGAAGAACAGTTACGCTTATAGTTAGTTATATTCAAAACCATGAGTTTGCTAAGAAATGCCATAAACTTTCAATCTTATATTTCTTGAATTGGTAAAAAATGTTGCTGAATTATTGAGGACAGAGCAATTATCCTCTGTCTGCTCTTTGACACAAAAATGCCCTTACCATCAAGGGCGGAGCCATGCCTTAGGCTATGGATTTGACATAACTCAGTAACTTTGACTAGACCTTATATTTGTGTTAAAAGATTCATTTGATGGGTACAAATGATATTTTGTTTTGTTTGATTTTGACTTTGCATCAACTTTAAGAAATTAAATAATATTTTTTTATATCTTATAATCTTAAACTAAAAATATACTAAAATATCCTTTAATGTTTAGGCGATATTGCTACATTTTTAGGAATTGATAAAGCTTTGTAAACGTATCCTTCAACAAAAAAAAACGCAAAACGTCAATTATTTGGGTCCTTAATTAATTAGGGGTGGTAAAATTGATCTAGGCCTGCCTAAGTCTAGTGGCCGATCTAATGCCTAGAATTTGCACTATTTATAATGTTCAATTTGATTATCCTATACTTATTGACTAGGAGGTTCTAGTAAGATTATTGTGTGTGTGGTTAATATTTAATAAAACTTGATGGTGCATTGTCTTGACAACGTTTTAATTTTGGCAAAATATGTAGGACGGCGACAAGACTATTAGGGGTCGTTTGGTGTGAAGGATTGGGACAAATAATCCCGGGATAAATATTTAGTGGCACTTTATTTAGTGTTTGGTTGGGTTGTTTGGGATAACTTATCCTGGGATTAATAAATAGTACCAGGATAAGTTATCCCTCCAAAAAGGTGGTATAGTAATCCCATCACAATTTGTGATGGGATAAATTTATTAAATGACAAAACTACCCTTCAAACCCTTTATGATAAGTTTCACAAACACCGCTTATGGTGTTAGCTTCCAATTTTCTTCTCTTCTTCATTGTAGTAAGAAGAATCACTCTTTGATTTGGGTACACTCAACTTTTCATTTTCCATTGAAGCCATAGATGGGTGATTGAAGAACTTCTTTACCAATAACCTTCAACTTTCAAGTTTCTAACAAGGTAAATTTTTTTTATTTTTCAGAATTTGTTTCTCTTTTCTTTCTTTGTCATCATTAATAATTCTCTGATCTATTGCATAATAATTTGGATACACTCATCTTT